CGTTCGTCACTAGCAACAGAGTACCTAAACTAAACGTGCGTCCGTGGTCCACTCGAGAGGCTTATGAGAGAAATAAGGAGTTCCTCTTTTTCGACAACATGAATCAGCAACCAATTTTTAGGGGAGAGTCAATTACTAGCGTGTTTCTGCTTAGAACTATTTACATGGCTTTTTTCCGCAAGCGGCCTCTCAGTTGGGCCTAGGACTCGATGCCATCTACGATATCTTTGCGTCGTAGCTGCAACGAACCAAACCCAGGCATAGATGCGCTACTGAATAACCCTGAAGACAACATGAAAGTTTGGCAGCTGGATGCAAGGGTGTCTCGAACTCAGGCAATAGCAGCAGAAAGCATGGATTTGGCAACGGACCAAGGAGGGAATCGACGCAGTGTGACTTTCAAGGTCCTGAAAAGCGGATATTGCAGTAAGAAGAACATTTGATTTTCGACATGACTGTTCACGGAGACAATTAAGTCTCAAGTTTAATCTCGTGCGAGGTTCAGTATGATGATGTCACATTGTCAAACCCTTCAAATCTCATCTAAGAAATTAGCGATTCTGTTTGGCGAATGGTTTAATGAGGAGACCGTTGAAAAAGGGAACGATTGCATCCTTTTGACAGATTTCAACCAGGTGGACAGGACGAACATGCAATGGTAGTAGGTTCTTAGCGCAACTTTTCTCGCAACCCTCTGTTCGATGGTTTGACAAAGTGCTCATTGCATCGGGCGCCATTTTACGGTCTCAATGGTTCGTTGGCATCCACAATAAAACCCGCAAAGTCATATGTGCCTAGAGTGTTTGTTCCAAGAAATATTCTCGTATCCTAGATCTATACCCAGAAACGAGCTCGGAGGGTGTGCTATGCCGTAGGTCGGTATCCCTGAGATCTCGCAGATTTCACCGGCGCCTCTATCTTTGAGCCTAGTGTAGCACCAGGTCGGCGGACACTGGGAACAAATGAGCCGAGAAAACTGCAGAAACGACTATGTACAGCAACTGAATGAATTTCGTTGATCTGGCATTCTGTGACTTGCTTGCTGGTTGGTTCTGCCAAAGAGTTGACGAGAATTGTGAGGCACAAGGGTATTGAAACGAAAGACGCGGATATCAATTCAAGCAACAGACCTACGGCGAAAACGATGAAATTATCGCCTAGACAGGATCTCTTCCGCACAGTTGTACAGTTTTGTGCACATGTCGCTTCCTCTCTCACAAACATTCTCAACATTCGAGAAGCCGAAACCTGCTACAATAGGTCTCCACAAACCTCTAGTCATGGCTATAGCGACTGGTTTGCAAATAAAAATATGGGTCAGGATGGCGAATAATAGTACAGTAGGAATCGAAATCGGTTTCCTTGTCCGTAAACAGGAACTCTTCTGTGCAAAGATGTTTGTAGATCCGATTGCTGACGGGGCACATGACAAGGTCCTGGCGGTACCTTCTTGATTACCTCCATAGCCGGGGACGGAACTTGCTTTTACACTGTGTTCGTGAATTAGACCCATAATGCATTAGCTGACGTCCACAAACGGCGATGGCAAGTGCCGTTTCTACAGTACGCAACATGGGTCTCGGGCCGGCCTCAGAAGGGCTCTGCTCACCAATCGCGGTCATCCGATCCACATATGTATCGACAACACCAGCGTTATACAAGGTATCCGCGGCAAGGCGCCGGACTCGTCACAAGAGGCCTTCCTCGAAATCCAAGAAGCAGCCAGGATATTTGATGTACGGACGCACTGGTCTCCGGGACACCAGGGCATCGAAGGAAACGAGGCCGCGGACCGGCTGGCCAAAGAAGGAACGACGCTGCCGACGCGGATGGGTCAAATGGCAACACTAGCGGGCATCAAGCGGCTTGCAAGGGAAAAACTACAGAGCCAGCATAGGAGATGGTGGTATAAAGAGCGAAGGCCGCGGTACGCGGACTTGGGGCTTGAGGCAGCTCTATGCAGCCCCCCTGAACTGGCCTTGCCGCGGGCTACGTTACACCACCTGCTGGCGGCACGATCGGGGCACGGGGACTTTGAGCAATATCATCGACGTTTCAACCACGACGACGCTCTAATGACGTGCTCCTGTGGAGAGGCGAAGGACGTGGACCACCTGGTCTACTGTCGACTAACGCTGGCGAGAAGGCAACGGTGGCCGACCCTCCACTCTCGCAGTACGCCCGAGCCCATAGGCCCTATGGGATCTCTCGAGGCCTACTTCAAGGGGTTAATCACCGACCCACGAGGCTTCGAGGCCTTTCTCCGCGTGACGGACTTCTTCCAGAAGATCTGTCCGCGGTAGCAGCACCCATACCTACGTAGATGTGAGTGCGGACTACAAAGAACCTCCCGATTCCAAGGGACGAATTAGAAAAGAATGAAACTGGGGCACCAGCGGGAGCCGGGGACAAATAGAACGCGTAGTGGCCACAAGGCATGATTTGGAGGACGATGTAAAGAGACGACGTACTGTAGAGTAGGTAGCCTTGGCTCACGGCCCTCCACGCCATATACCCTTCGGGAGGTCTGCGGTAAGGGCCTAGGTCCCTCCGCCATGGCGTTAAATACAACAACAACAACAACAACAACAAAAAAAAATTCTACTGTCGTTGGAAAGCGGTACTTCTTGAGCTGCTACCAGAAGGCTCGTTTGGCTGGTTTGACGTCAAATATACGAAGTGGGTGGAAAGCAACTGGATTATGCCCACCTAACATGGCCAAGGCACTTACCAATCCAATGGTCCTACCCACCCAAATCACACCATCCAAAAAGGGCACAGAAGCTGGTCAGACGACTGGCAATACCAGCAAACCACTAAACTGGGCATCAGCGACGTCTGTTGTTGACTGGTCAACTCCTAGGAAGGCCAGCGGGCTCAGCGACCACTTGAAGCTATTCACAGAGCTTAGTCCAGACGACAATACTCGACGACTGCTGTTCAGAAAGGTGAAAAAGGCATTCAGCGAGCAGGCCTATCACTTGGCCACATCTCGGCACCAAGTTCGAGTTCTGGAGGCCAAGGTCGAGCGCATGAGGCCCAGGAAAAAGAAAAGTGTACCAACAGACCCAAACACCAGGTTCGCGAGCATCTGGAATATACAGAAGGCTCAGGAGGACTCTGGCGACCGTCTAATTAGTCCTCATCGACTCGCAGGGGTCGAATTACCTAGTGATAACAATGACTGTATCATTGTGGCAGTGGAAGGTAGTTGA